AAAAACAGCATATCATAGAGATATTTTTGCTAGGACAATACCATTAAAATGATCTAACTTGAAAAATAAAGCAATTTCCAGTTTAGTTTTCAACTTTATGATTAGTGTGGGATTTATGTTTACATTTACATTAGTAGGTTTGTAGTCTGTGTTCACTTCAGAATGTTGCCAGTGTGGATATGTGGTAGGATAATTATTTTATTGGAAACTTTGGAATTTGGAATAAAAACAAACTGACTCAAAGGTTAAAATAAATAATATATTTTTATTTACTTTCTATAGATTGATGTGTGAGTCCTTTGGTATTCAGTATAGCAAAAAGTTAATTTATAAAGCAGATATTGATATCAGTATGGAGAAATATCTATTTGCAGTCATTTTGAAGTCAGACCATGATATGAGTAGTAGTAGCAATATCAGAGATTAGGGCAGTTTCATACTACTGTGTTCTTTTTGGCTCTGAAACAGGGTGGAAATGTCAGTAACAGATGATTTCTTGACTGCTCTTTCACATGTGTGTTCTTTTGTTCCGTCCTCTTTTTGTGTTGTTCTGATCCCCCTCTCATCTTCTATCAGGGGTGTCAGATTTTATATCCTTCTCACTAGGCTCAAAAAGTGTCTTTGTACCAATTTTTTTGATTGGCCAAATTAATTTATTTTCCAGCATTCCTTTCTTTTTTGTTTTTTTATAACGGAAGTTATGTGTAGAGCCTCACTGATTTTCGCTATTTTTCAGTCACAAATAAGTAAGCTCTGCTTCTGAAAACTTCCAATGTTGTTGTTCAGGTTCAGTTTTTTCTTATTCTTCCTCTTTTTATTTGAGGGTTTCCTTCTTGTAGGTTAAGAGAAATATAGAAGTTTGGGGAAAGAGAGAGAAAGAAAGAGATAGGGGTTTTAAAGGAAAGAACAAATGTGTTATTTTAATTTGAATTCTTTTTATTTTTGTTTATATATTTTATTTTTATTGGGACTCACTTCAGGTTTAACAATATTTCAACCTTTTTTCTGTCTTCACCCTTTAGTAAATCTAAGTTAAGAAAATGTGTCTTCTGGCAATGATTGAACCTGCATATATAATGTTTGAAATTTGCTATATTTATGAGGGAAGAGTGCTCATTATTGAAGATAGATCACATATAGTTATAAACAGTCTAGCCATAGAAATCAACACTGGATGGTGACTGGCAGTTTCATGCTTTAAGCCTACAATATCTGATGATCATGTAAGACATGAAACAGCCAGTAATCATGCACTTTTGATTTCACTGTTTATATATTGTTTTTTTTTTTTAATCAATTCACCCAAAGCAATGCAATTAAAGCCACAAAGACACAAGGGAGTTACTGAGTGTAAGAGAATATAACCAAAAGAAAACATTATAAAGGAGAGAGAACAATAATAAAAAACAAGAATTAAGAAGACAGAAGATACGACTGATGTTGCATTTAGATTTTTGAAGAACAAAACATAATTAAAGAAGACTTAGGCTATACTCCATCTGAAAGCAAGAAACAAGTTCCAAGAGAGTTCTCAGTCTCAGAGATAGTGTTTATAGATATAGACAATGTGGACATAGGAATCAACAGTTTCATGCTTGCATGATATATGCTGTAGGAGAGTTATAACCGAGTAAATGATTATATACCCCTAACATTTATATATACAAAAATTATATATACAACAAAAAAAAAGTGAGAAACAACAAGACATGGAAACAACAAAAAAAGTATTATTTATTATCTGATTGTTATGTGGTGCTGGAGATATGAGACAGTAATACTAAGTAAAATTGTGACTTAGATGTCAACTGTAAATCAAATATGGATTGGAATCCAACAGAAGGATAAGATAAAGAATAAGTAAAGTGTATACAGTCTTTCTTGTATGTTTCTTTATACATGTGTGTAATGAGTGTCCAGATAATTTATTTGGAAAAATACAAGAAATGTTTGGTGTTTTCTTACCTCAAATTTTTGCTGAGTGATGAGAGATAAATGTTACTATTAAAGCCTGAAAAAGGAAAAGGAGCCGAAATTTTTGTTTACACATATGTTGACAGCTTCAAATAGTGAAAGTGTCACATGTTTTTGTGTGTGTAGAGAAGAAAAGTAGGGTCGATTCTCATTGGTTTAGAATGTGTGAATTAATGATAATTATGATTATTATAATTATTTTTTTATAATTATTTTTGACACTATATTAATTTTTATTTATTTACTTTTTTATAGACACAGCACAGTGACAGTATAATTATTTTTTTATTTATGTATTTCTTTATGGACATGATATTACACAACCATAAAATATTCAAAGTTTATGCAAACATTTATTTTTCATTTGATAATGACATAAGAAATGAAACTAAATGTAGAAAAGTTGTCCTTCTTAACAAAAAAAGTTATTGTAGATACGTTTTTCACCATTAGTTCATTTAAAAGAGTAAATTCTAACAGATAATGAGGTTAAGTTGTAATATTTTCAAGGTACCAATTTTGTGAGAACTTAAAACGATTACTTGTTTACTTATTTTAGTGCATCATTTTACTTACAATTATTGCCACGTGACGCAAACAAGTCAGTGCATTTATTCAAAGTAACCAACAACTGTGCCTTCTTATAGCCATCTGTCACTTGTATTATTGCTCAGAAGACTGTTTACATTTACATAAGTAGCAAAGTAATCTTTCTAAGTAACGCAGTTAATCGAAATAAGTGTTGCTTAATTTGTTACGTATTTTTACTTGCTTTGGAGAACAAATCGCTGACAAGCCGAATTCGTTTCTTCTCGCTGTCAACGGTCCAAGGGAAGCGATTTGATTGATGAATTATATCCCTTGGTAGCACTAGTTCCTGCTTTTATTATTATTGCTACAGAAATGTTTTCATTGGGGATGGGAAATAATTCGAAAGATATGTTTGAGGGTTATCAAAGTCATTTTCGTAATTTATATCTGGATTAAACTTAGATGCAGACAACTGCTTGCCTGCTTACAAGATTTATGAATTATAATTACATGATATTTAAAGAGATAAACTGTTGATAGACATTTAGACAGTGATGTTTGATACAAGGAGCCTTGGAACAAGATTTAAAGCTCAAGTAAAAAATTGAAACGGAAATTGTTAACTAATATATGAGAAGCAACTAATTTTAATATAGTAATTAATGACTACAAAAAGTTTGACCTATTATTGAATAAAAGAATCAGTTTTTCATTAAACTACATACATTTTATTTTTTTCTCTAACAATGTGTTACAGATTTTGAATCAACCCACAACAAATAAAAAAATGAAAAAGATATTTAAATATAAAAATATTTTTATATTTAAACACTATTTTTGACTTTTTTGTTGTGGGTTGATTCAAAATCCGTAACAAAATTGATTACCCTGACGTAATGTGTCATCAGCCTCAAAGTATTGACCAGGTAAGATCATGGTAATACCAAAAACCATTTCAGATGGAGTATAGCCTAAGTCTTCTTTAATTATGTTTCTTATAGATAGCAGCATGACTGGTAAATTATCAACCCACTTGTATGGTTCAACATTAGTTGCAAAATCCATTTGTACTTGTCTGTGAAAATGCTTTATGATACCATTAGCAGAGGAATGATATGCAGTAGTTTTAATGTGTTTAACACTTGACAAATATTCAATGAAAATAGACTACCTATGAAGAAAAAGCTATTTACTAATTTTCGCTTTCATATTTAAACAAATTCAATTTAAGATTGGAGGTGTGGGTGGCCAAACAGTCAACAATATGGAGAATGGAATCATTAAGCTGAGTTCAAATCCCAGCTAATGTGTTTTTTTTTTCCTTTGCATTACTATTCTTAGGAAAATAAAGAATTGCATCTCTTCCTTCGCCTGCTATAGGTAAAATAGCAGAACATATTAGGTTAATTAGCCTTGACTGGTAATCAGTGAAAGAGAAGGACAACTCTAAATTCAAAACTTGAAGATTGCGTGTGGGACTGTTGTGGGATACTAGTATGATGCTTGGGTAGAAATAAGTCACCTTATGTGGGTATCACCTCTTTGTTTACTAAATGTATGGATGATTTATATTAAATATTTATGGGCTCCTGGAACATTTATCTCACAACCAATGTAAGTCCAAGTAAAAATAAACAACACAAAATAATAAATATGAAACAAATAACAATGTATGTTATTAACAAAAAGAATTATATGTGTATACAGTTGAAATGAAAAGAAAAAACATTTAAACTAGTTATAAGAGTGTGCTTGTTTAAGTGTATGTGTGTGTAACAAGCATGTGTGATAGACATGTGTGTGTATGTCCACATGTGAGAGAGTTCAAAAGAGGACCAAGAAAGCAAATGAGCCCTATCAGCAGCGTTCTTTATCTATGTCCAACTACATCTGGAAGCAAGAGTCAAAAAGAGCTAAAAAAAGAGCTTTATAGGCTTAAAGAGTGCCCCCCACTAACAGGTGTTTTGGCAAAGCCAAGTGGCATAACCCACAGGACTAACAACTCTACCCTGTAAGAAAAACAAGCCTACTTAGTACTGAAATTGCTCCAGTGTCAGTATTAATGTGCTTATATGCTCCCCAGGGAATCTTCAGGAATAAACAAAGCAAAATCAATTTAAGATCAATGTGATACTATAATGATCTCTGAAAAAAATAAATCTGGTACGTTAAAATTTCTTGTGTATAACACAATGGCTCCTTTTTTTCCTTTAATTTTTGTTCAAAATTTATCATGTTATGCACAAGGAAATACAGTAATTAAAAGAAGTTTGGCTTCTGTTTGATCATAAACTCTTGTTTGCATTTTTCTATTATAGGCATCCATGATATACTAATTCCTTAATACCATGGAACAGAATAATTGAAAGAAAGGAATGACAAACATGCATTGTTCTCACATAGATTTCTTTATACCACTATGTCATACAGATATATATATACCTGTCACTATTTGTCTCACACAGAGAAATTATAACATATAAAGACAAATAGTGTTAAAGCAAGAAATATTTTGCAAATGTAAAATGGGCATGCTGGTGATGTCTTTTATGCAGCTGCTGGTTTCCTTTGCTCTTTTAACTGTCATGGACAGTCATGTCTTGCTTCTCTGCTGTCTACATAGCAACATACATGTTCATCACTATACAAACTGATGTCACCTGACCCTCGTGAATTAATTTTAACCAAAGGGAGATAATTACTCTTTGCATCCTTATGCTGATTTTTTAAAATACTATTTTGATATATTATTAATATATTATTAGTATAAACAGATACACAATTAAATAAACAAAATAGGTAAATATATTATTTTTTATTTAAAATGTTGGTTCCAATCTGCAGTGGGAATGGTTGCAAAACACTTTCCCCTCCCCAATTTATAGGCAGAAGCAAACAAATGCATGCTGGGATTTCTTCCTAGCCAATAAAATAGGCCAGTTCTTGGTTTCAGTTGACTCAATCCCAGTCAGTCTTGTCTTGAGGTCAGAACCCCAGTTCTTCGTTTGTGAACTTTTTGCCTTATTACTGTTAATTTGCATTGCATATATCATTCACTTGCTTTCAGGCTATTTTTGTCCTTTTCTTTTCTTGTTATTGCAAACTTAGTCAATTTTGTTTGTTGGGCAGTTCTGTTGATTGTTTACTTTTAACCATGGGCACTCTACATAAAAAATAATTAATTTTTTATTATTATTAAGAAATAAAACAGAAACTGAAACATTATAATTATTATTTACACTATTTGCATTGTTCAGACTTGTCCTCATTTTTTTTTGACATATTCACAACATTTTGGCCATTGTATTCTCTGGCCTTTTTCAGGTGATATACATTGGAATTTCAAACTGAACCCTTTATTTTGTCTACTGGTGTTATCATTATTATAACAAAAAAGCAATGAAGGACAAAAAAAAGTTTGAAAAAACAGTCATTATGATGAATAATAAATAATTTGAACTTTTCTAAAGATATTTTGTTCTTTCTAAGAGAAATTAATCTTTTATTCTTCAATAGGGAAATTTTGAATGGTTTTCTTATGTTACTTTTCTGCTTTATTTCAACAGGAACATCTGTTTGAGAAAATGAAAATTGCAGTCCAAAAGTTTTATGGAGATAGAACTGGAGATTCTGAGTGTTATGGTAGAATTGTAAATGATCAACATCACCAGTGAGTTTCAGGGCAAACTGTTTTTAAAATTTTTTTTGTTTTTCTTCACATATTTTATTCCATTTCTGTATTTATTTTTGTTTTATTTTGAAATGTGTATTGCTCCAAGTTACCTAGTCCAATGGGTTCAATAACACAACTTTTCAGTTAGGCAGCAGTAGCAACAGATAAGTGTGTAAGGTTCAATTTCTCACAAATAGAACAAAAAAAGACAGCAAACTTTAATGTTTGTACCACAAAAATAACAGTGTTGAAAGGATAGTTTTTTTTCCCTTGGCACCACTATTATTTCATACTACTTTCACTCCCACTGCAATGTTTATTTACAAGATTATAAAAATATGTGAACTAAGTACAATACAATATTTATTATTTACATTTTATAAAAATATATTATTTACCATTTATAAAGAAATAAATGTGAAAAGAAATCATTTTATTCAAAATTTTTTTATTAGTTATCAATGTGTAAACCATCTACAATGCAATATTTATTATTACCATGTTATAAATAATTATGAAAACAAGTTTTTTATTCACAATTTTATAAAAATGTCAATGAATTGTTGAATGAAAGAAATACCAGGAAAATTCATTTTTTTCAAATTTATAATTACTTGTTGTTATCTGTTTATTTAAATTTGCATGTTTGACAGAAATTTTATTTTCATATTTATTTTTTTATAAATTGTTAAATGCATTGGATTAGTTGGTTCACATTTTTAGAATGTTGAAAATATAAAATTATTCTTGTAAATAAACAACCTAATAAATAAATAATTCATTATTTTTTGTTATAAAGTCTCAAAGAATAAAGAAAATGCATAAATTTACTTTCCTATGTTTGGGTTTTATTAAAATTCTAATCATTGCTTTTTAAAACAACAAACATTGCTGAGGAAGTGAAGGTAGTTAAAATAATAGTGGTGTCAAGGGAAAAAAAAATCTTTTGACACACCATTTTAATGGGGACATATAAGTTAAAGATTGCCAAAAAATCATAAAACTAAAGTAGGCATAATCTTGGTCTTGAAAATACTTCATCTTTACCTGAATATTTTTACTTGAAACACACACACATATATACATGGATATGAAACAAGGTCTTTTTAATGTGGGGTGCCTATGTGCATGCACATGGGCCATGTTAAAAAATAGCCAGGTCCCCACAACTACTGTCATGCTGGTATTGCTATTCCACCACTGCTACTCACTTTAGTGCAATGAGAGAGGTGCTGCCGTCGTGCCAGAATCCCCACAACCAGGTCTTCACTCAAAGATTTTTTCTTTGATCTGTCTAAAGACAGATAGACAGCTGAGAGGTAATTAGGTTTTTCATCCCAGCTCAATGGTTGAGAACAAGAAAACCAACCACTAAGGCAAGATGTGATATAAAGTTTGTTTTTTATTTTATGTGATATGCTCATATGTATGCATATGGGTACCGCATATTAAAGGAAGACTTTATGTCACATCCTGCTTTCATGGGGAGATCAGGTAAATAAAGCTTTATTAGTTTGTTTTTAAATTTTTTTAAAAATTTTCCATAGTTTCTTTTTTGATTTCCTTTATTATTTCTTATTTGCATATATTGAAAGTTTTAAAGAGATAATTTAAATATTTGCAAAATTTTCTTGCATAAAAGAAATTGGAAAAATACTGTATTTGATGGCATATAAGGCACACTTTTTTTTACTAAAAATATCTTTTAAAATTCCCCTGCGTCTTATATGCCATATGTACATTTAAAATTTGTTGGCCGAAATTAGCTATCTGGCAACTCTTATTAGTTTAGACTTTAGAGTAACTTTCATATACCTATTGTCATTAGTTAAAAGGCTATTATACAGATTAAAAGTGTTATCATTGAAAATATTCATTATATTAATTTCATCACGTTTAATACTAGTAGTTTGTTTCACTAAAATTATATGCAATAAATTCAAATTCTATATTTGCAAAATATATGTGTTTCATTAATATTTTTCTTGCGGTAACTTCTGATTGCATTGGTATAAATACAATCAGAATTTTCATATCCTAATTATTCCACTTAAATGTTTACAAGACACAGGTTGTACAGATCATATAAAGGAAAATTTTTGACTGAATTTCACTCCTTCAGATATGACAACACCAAGAAAGAGGTTAAGCTACACTGTTGTGTACAAGCTTCATGTAATAAACTATGATAAAGAGCATGGAAATAGAGCATCTGCAAAATATTTTGGCTCTCTGCTTACAGCAAAAATGATACGTTACTGGTGGTTGCAGGAAAATAACCTACAGGCAGCGAAGAAAGGAAACTATAACCTTCGCCACCCAGCCCCACACTGGCCTGAAATTGAAGAGGAAATTAAAACATGGGTTGTAGATGAGAGGAGTACAAGCAAAATCGTTACTATGAAAATGATAAGGAACGAGGCTAGAAGATTATTAAACGAAAAGGGGATTCAAAACTTTATAGGAACAGAAGGATGGTGTTATTGTTTTATGAAATGGGAAGGTTTGTCAATGTGTACAAAAACATCAATTGTACAGCAAATGCCAGCTGACTATGATGACAAAATAGTAAAGTTTCATAAATTTGTTATAAATGCTCAAAAAAGAACTCCTTTTGAACTAGTTCTGATAGGAAATATAGATGAAGTCCCACTAACGTTTGATGTTCCATCAAACAAACTGTGAGAATTAAGGGATCCAAGACAATTACAATAAAAACCACAAACCATGGGAAGACCCATTATAAGGTCATTCTTGCATGTTGCGCTGATGGCACAAAACTGCCTCCTTTTCTGATTTTTAAGAGAAAAACTACACCGAAAGATAAAATACCAAAAAGTGTTCATGTTCATTTGAAAGGCTGGATGGACGAAGCTAGTCTACAGTTATGGCTATGAGTTGTATGGAAAAGACATCCTGGTGGACTCTTATGAAAGCCCTCTCTTCTGGTTTGGGCTCAGTTCCAAGCGCATAGGACTGAATCAATTAAAAAGAAAGTAGCAGAATTGAAAACAGAGATAGCAGTTATTCCTGGTGGACTAATGAGTCAGTTGCAACCTCTGGATGTGTCTTTGAATAGACCATTCAAGCAAAACATGAAGGAGCAATGGAACACATGGATGGCAATGACTTACACTTACAGGAAGAATAAAAAGACCCAACATTGCACAAGTCTGCAAATGGGTGAAGCAAGCTTGGGATAATATTAGACCAGAAATTGTTGTGAAAGCTTTTAAAAAGTGTGGCATTAACAATGCTCTCAACAGAACAGAAGATGACAAATTTTATGAATTTGAAGATGAATAAAATTTTAATGGTAACTGTACTGTTTTGTTAAGTTGTAATAATTGCTTGATTTTTATTTTATTTTCTTACCTTTGGATATAATAAAGTTTTTATAGGCTTGTGTTCTTTTTCCTATTATTTTTCATTTAATTGTAATTATGGCTTGTTTAACCAAATTAATACCTCATAAATATAGCCTAGCTGTACTATTTATTAATAATTTTACTAATTACTAATTTTTTCTTGATTTGCCCTGCTGAAATTGGGGTGCATCTTATATACCATCAAATACAGTAAATGAATCAAATTCTTTTTATTGAAGATATGTTCTAGCTAAAAAAAATGCTATCTTCTTTCTATATATTTTGTGTACTTTAACACTTTTAAAAAATTTTTTTTTAATTACTTAGACGCCTAAAGTCTTTGCTGAGCCGACAGAAAGCCACATATGGTGGTTTGATAGATGACAGTCAGAGAATGATATCACCTGCAATTGTCATTGATGTCAAACCTGGAGACCCTTTAATGGAAGAAGAGGTAAGACTTGTTTTTCTACCTGATAAACAACAGGAATTCCTATAAATTTATAACCAGTCCCTATAGTGCAATGATTTCTTATATTCACTATCTGTTTCTTTGCGACTCAAGAAGTTGTGCATAATTATTACTATTGGTAGTAGTAGTATTATTACACATCTTATTGGATGTTATTAGCTGATTTTTTCATTATGTTATCAATAAGATGAATAATAATTAACTAACCTTATTGATTATTATTAGACAATAGCCTGTGAAATTTGTTTTTGTTCAAAACTAGAATCTCATGTAGCAATTCTAGATTGTCATGCCAGCAGACATTATCTTTACTTCCAATTCTGGAGTAAAATATCAAGTGATATCATTGACAAGATATTAACTTGAAGAAGATGACTCATCTTCACATTGCTATAACTGGTGTGAAAAACAGGTCATCTTCAGATCTTAAAAACCAATGTGGAAAAAAAAGTTAGCATCTCTTTTACCTTAAATAGGCAAAACCATGATATGTGATATCACATTACTTTAGAAAAAAATAATTATTAACAGATTTTTAAAACAAAGGAAATCAGCTAAACTGATCATTAATATATGATGAGCAGAACAAAAAGATTGTGCAGTTCTCTTGTGTTTAAATTGATTAATTGTCAAAGAGTTAAATATTTTTAAATCTGAGTAATGGAAACAAAAAGGAGACTTACACTATTTTTTTAAACTAATGTTCACCCAATACAAGGCCCAAGAGCCACTTAAGGTAGAGATTTACTGTATGGTGTTGCATTAGCCTAAGAAAGGACAAGAAGTGAAGTTAAAGTTAACAGCTAACTCTAGACTTGAAGAGGTCAAGATTTAATTAGTGAATACAATTTCAGAGTTCAGGTGCAGACATTAGGAGTATAGAGTTGAAATAGACTTTAGAAGGAACCAGAAACCCAATCCTAAGCAGGGAACAGAAGATAAACCTCTACTCCTGTTCAAAAGATCAGTGAAAAGTGTGAACCAGACAATAGGCAAACCTATCTACTCCTATTGATGGAGGAGAGAAAAGAAAAAAAAGAAAAAAAATAATTAGTAAATAAAATTTTAGAGTTCAGGGGGAGACATTAGTATTCAAGTAGACTTTAGGGGGAACTGGAAACCTAATCCTAAACAGTGAACAAAGGATAAACCTCTACTCCTGTTTAAAAGACTTAACATCAGGAAGAGACAGTTGAAACTTCTAGGGCACATAATGAGGAAAGAGGGCTTGAAAAAATTGATACTCACAGGACAGACTGAAAGCAAGAGAGACAGAGGAAAACAATGCACAATCTACCTAGTGAGCTTGAGTAAATGAATGGTGGAATAAGGTTTAGTAGCAATAACAAAAGACAAAATTTATTAAGAGCTATGAAGGACAGGAAATTGTGGAGAGCCATGATCCCCAAACGTTTTGAAGGGACACAGCACATAGAAGAAGAAGAGTAAAATAATATTGTCTGTTTATAACATGTTACTGTATAATAATCTATATCATACTAATCTTGTATGTATGTATGTTTGTTCCTGAGATACAGTTTAAACAATACTCTAACCATTTAGGAACATATTGTACCTTGAACCCCCACCAAGTGAAATACCAAATTTCATTAAAATAGACTTCATCTAAGGCTGTTTTTCTGTTTTTACAGCATTTTTAATAGGAAATTCTGTATTTAAATAAATTTAAATATGCATAACACAACGTATATTTATACAATTCACTACATAACATTAGAACTTTTTTTTTTATAAATAACTACTTGAAAGGTTAAGAGGTTATATGTATTACATGACATGATGGTAAATAAATAAATAGATGCATATTTTCTACCATTTTGTATTTTGAAATAAATGCAAGGAAAAAACAAGTGCATATAATAAAAAATATACTTATTATTAGGAAAAACACTACCCCTTTTTTGAAGCTATTACTCCAAATTTTCATGCAATGTGTTAACTATAAAGCCTAGTGAAACAATAAACCTCATCTTGTTGTCTTAAAATACAAACTAAAATGTCTAATTAATAATAAAATTGACAATATTGTTACCTCATCATTTTGTATCATGAACTGCTTTTAAAAAAACCCATTTATGTTTGTATTTATGAATTTATTTCACAAGCTATTATTTAATAATAAACCCATAAGGTTAGTTAACTATTATTCATCTTATTGAGAACAGACAAACTACAACATGTCCATGCATACACAGGCACTTTTGACTTCTCATGCTTGAAAGTTACTATGGAGATGTAATAAGGAAATTGCAAGAATTATGATTTCTTTTATGTTATTAAATTCTATTAAACTCTTTTTGTTATTGTTCAATGTATATGCTTTTTTTATTTTACAATTTAACTGTTAATTTACATCAAGGGTTGGCAACCTACGGCCTGTGGGCCGGATCCAGCCTGCAAAGGCATTTTGACCAACCCACGAGCCGGGGCTTTCGTATTAGACTATCTGCCAGTTATCTTTCTTGAGACTTATTTTACCAAGTTGCGTTGCCTACGTTTAATGTCAAATAATGGATACATATTTTTTAATGACCCTTGGCTACATTAAAAGATAACAGAAGCTAAAGGAACGATAAAGTGAAAGAGGCCAGGGAGGGACTGACATGTGAGGTAGCAGAAATCTAAAGATAGTTAAACATACGCGCATTATACATACATGCCTCATGAATGTGTGGATGATACCGCATGTGTGTCACGTAAGTGTATATGTTTGCAACTATTTGTACTCGTATGTATGGGTATATGTGCTTCGTTTTTTTGTTTGTGTGTGTGTGTGTGGTTCGTTTGTGGAACAATTTTAATAACAGTTTCAAACCTACACGCTATAATTTCACCCATTTTACTTCGGTTGATTTTTTCACTTTGAAGTATTTTGACGTTCCTTGAGGAAAAGTAATTTTTGTTAGGTGTTTTTAAATTTTAGATTTTCTTTTGTTTTTCTGATTTCTCAATGTTTATTTTCATTATGGTTTTAAATATTTAGGTTGACAGGGGTCTGCATATGTAATTTTCCTTAATTTTTCATTAATGGCCTTCGTCCGGCCCGTGACCTGTCATTATAATACGATCCGGCCCACGGGGTCAAATGAGTTGCTGACCCCTGCTTTACATGGTTAAATCCTAAAGATCTATTAGTTCTGTAGCTTGAATTTCTGACAATCCTTATCAAAGTATCACATTAACAATGAAATAAATCATGAAATTGCTCATTTAATAAAACATAGGTAAGTGCTTCTAGCTTGAATATATGTATACATACTGTGGCAGAAGAATTCTAGATTTGTTATGAATTTTAAGTCACCAGCAAGTTCAACAAATTGTAACTTGCAGCATTGTTATACACAACTAACTACCAAATTAGAATTACAAATTGATAACTTATGATTGCAGGTTGTATCTTTTCTGTTCATTATTCTTTTAACTGAAAACTTCCATGATCCTGTACATTTTGAATCTGATATCATTACTTTGTGTAAATGCCACTAAAATGTAATGTATAGTGGCTTGGAATGGGAAATTGAAGTGCCAAGTTCAAATTCCTGTCAAGTTTGCTATATTCACTTATGCACCTTGAAATGGTATGAATCAATATCCTCCCAGCTATGGGTTAAACAGTAGAACTTGTGTCAGGAAAAATCATTGTTATCTACCAAAAAATTTTTAATGCAATATTCACTCGCCAAAAAAAAAAAAAAATTATACTTAAAATTCAAAAAATATGATTCAGCTTTAAATAACCTACAGAGGGTTGATAAAATCATTAAAAAAACAAATTGATCAAAATCTGCCACTAGAATTCTTTGATCCACTTTCAAGTCATTGTTTGAACTGAAATTAAACATTTTATAAATTAACTCGTTGAAACAAATATATATATATTTTTTAAAAAAGCTATAACCACAGCTTCAAACCAAATTGTGAAAACTCTAAAAAAGTTTATGGTTATTTATTTATTCATTTATTATTAACCCAGCAGTCATTAGGTCAAAATGGACAAACAGAAGAGGCACATTGTACACAAGTACAGTTACTATCTGCCAACATAATCAAAATATATTAGGTTGGTGCATAATTATCAGGCATTTTTGTATGTGAGTTATTTGTTAATAAAAATTGCTGTTTGTTTACTTTTTTTTAATAAAAATATTTTTTTTCAGGTTATAAAAATGCATGTCGATAATCATACACTCCAGAATAATCATTTAAAAATGTTGTTGTTGAATTATGTTTCTTTTTTTATAATAAATATTGTTTAAAAAAACGCCTGATAATTATGCACCAACCCAATATTATGATCATCACTTTTTTAAAAATGTCTCTAAAGTCTTGGCATTGATTGCTGAAATTTTAGCATGTAATTAGATATGTATTTATTATTTTTTCAAAATCTTATGAATTATGTTTAATAAAACTAATTAAAACTAATAAACAAACACAATTTTCATTTAGCATCATATAATTCATATAGGATCTGCAACTTATGCAGTAGCATGAAGAATGGGTGGGGGGCAGATGGTGCAACGTAACCAGGCATCATATTGAGAGGGCATCCGATGAAAGAGTGAAATAAAAACTAAGTTTATGAAATGTTTTGTCTGTTTTTACATAATTAAATGTCTTCCTTTCTCACATTTTCAGTACTAGGTGACCTATAATCCCCCATCCACTACTTGAGTCTTATAGGTATATAATCAAGGTGTCGGCCCCAGGCATCACCAAACCTCTGCATGCCACTGAGCTAGTCCAGAAAGAGAAAGTGGCATGCTATGTTCAATTTCCAGCCAATTTTGATGCATTCACTTTTGCACAAAGAAGGTTTTGAATCTATCTCTTCTCCCTTCAGCTATTGATTAAATAACAGGGTTGACAGAGTACTTTATCCTTAGTTTGGTAACCAGTCTAGAAGAAGAGTCAGTTCGTTGTGAGGCTGACAACTCTATCCCATAAAAACTTACTTGATA